AAACTCTGATTATTTTCCATAAATTTCATCAACATGACAGTCTACACAGTAGCTAGCTATGACATGCAAGATAAAGAAATCCCTCATGGCAAAGCAAGCCTAGCTATTCTTTAAAATCAGACCTACTACTGTAGGAGTAGTAATATGAAGAAAGTGTACTGAAATTATTTTAGGTGATACTTCAAGATATTCTTTGATAGACATTCTGCCTCATTATTCTGTTGAATAATGTTGCTCTAAGTAGCGTAGGCAATGTATTGGTTACACCAGTACAACTGGTTCTGCAACCACTTCCCCCTCTCAGAGAATAAGGATCCCAAGCCTGGACAAAATTCCATGTTTAAAGTTAAGACATAAAAAGTACAAGACTGAACTGATAACTGATATAAGTACACTGATATAAATAATGATATAACTGGTATAACCGGTATAAACTCTGAGTGTTTAGTGACTTGCTTCTGAATTAGACTGAAAGCTGCATGCACCTGTCCACAATCTGTTCCTACAGTAGGCAAAATAGAAAGACAGAGTTAATCACAGGAAAGTATTTCTAACACATCATTAGCCTTTAACATTAACACTAAGTGCAAATGCTTAAATAAAAAAAAATTGACCAAGCCACACAATTAAGCAGAGAAACATAAAAAGAAATGGTGATTCTTTTTCCTTGTTTTATTGGGTAAATGATTTAAAAGGTAATAACAATAGTGTTAAAACTACTACAATATCTTTCCACAGCCATATCTCACAGACCCACAGATAACCTTCTATTTTTTTTTCTTTTTCCTCATTTTTCTCTTTTTAAGCCGTACTTATATTAAAATGCCCATTTCAACAGTTTCTTCACACTAATAGCAATTAAATGTGGGAGGAAGGAGGATCTAGTTATAAAGGAAGGGGGTTCAGGTAATCTGTGATATTATTGTAATCAATCAAGTTACTAAGGAAGGAAGGAAAAGACAGAGGCCTCACGAGCTACTCCAGGTAGCTCTAAGCCCATTGTGTGTCACCATCGCATTAAAGATAACTCAAGATGCTGGTGAACAATTTAAAGTAATTTTTTTTGTAACATATAAAACACTAAAATAACTTAGAAACTAGATCCAAATATCTTGAAAAGAATCAACTTTGATATACAAAAACAGTCATAAGTTGTTACAAAAGTTTCAAACAAAAGTTTGTTTTCTCAGTGCGTTTATGTACCAGCGCAATTACTGGGTCCAGAGCAAAGAAAGAGGTTTTCATTTTTTATTTTTTCTTTAACAGTAATAAAAAACGAGGAAAACATATCTTTGTATATAAAGAATCATTGCTGGTCTTAAGAATAAATGTAACCAGAAACCCTTAAATCTGAGAGGCACACTTTGGGTTTCTCTTTTTTTTTTTTCTTTTTTTTTTCTTTTTTCTTTTTTAACATAAAAGGAAAGTCACCAGTTTATTTAAATGGAGGAGATATTCAGACTCCCCAAATAAACTTAATTCAATTAACATCACTAGCAAAAATCAGTTAGAAACTGTACAAAAATAAAAAAGTTAACACATTTAATCCTGCAGGGATTTTGTAAGGACTGGAAGGCAGGCTTTAGGAGCAGCATTTGGGCATGGCTGGAGGCTTCTTTGGTTCGATCTAACACACACAAGAGATGTAACCTACTCCAGACAACAATTTTAAAAACCCGCACATTTGAAGACAAGTAAAGAGGTCCGTATACAAACGCCAGGGTGTGCAAATGGATTTGACTGCCTTGATGTCATAGTGTATCTGAGGTCAGAAGTCTAGTGTGCCCTCCCCCTGCTACGATCAGCGTTGGGGTTGAGATGGTGAAAAGTCAGTGCTACAGCAGTCTAGGCAGAAGGAAGGCCACTTGAAGCATGACTAAGTCATAGTTTCATGTCAAGTCTACAGTTTTGTTGTCTAACTCAGTTTACAGAACAGGGTTTTTAGGAACATTAAGCAAAAGAACAAAAAAAACCCCCAACAATCTCTTTAATGAATAAGGCAAACTGAGTAGTGCTTATAAAAAATTAGCATTCCAACTTTAAAGACAGTGTATGTAATAAGCTACTTGGTTGTACCTTAACTTCATAAGTAGTACCCCAAATAAAAGTTTAAAAAAAAAAAATCAAAAAAAAAAATCTGTATCTTAAACCCAGCAATATCTCTAAAAGGGTACTAAACGTAACTATGAGGGAATGACATTTGTGAAAGCAATTGTTGATCAGCTTTAGGCAAACAGACCTATTCTGTCCCAGTGCATGTCACAGTGAACTGCGCGTTTTGTACAAATAAACCCACAATTACACAGAAACAATCCATAGCATTTTCAGCACTTGCATGCTGAGGAGGTAGGTGCCCTAGAAACACTGTAGATAGGCTGATTATTCCAATCTTTAAAAAAAAAAAAATAAATATCATACAATCTGATTGACCACAGACTCTGTAACAGTTTTTTAATTAGTGATACAAAACTCTGGTCCAGAAGGGTCTGGCATGAACTCATTTCAAAAGCACACCTTTACAGTTTGTATAACACCCTTTGAACTCTAGTTTTAAGCAACAGCTACTGAGATAGACAAAAATGCATTGTGCATTATGCTGTATACAAAAAGGAGACAAAACTATCCTTTTCTCCCCCAAGCCATGGTGGGAAGTATTGCTGACCTTGTCCTTAAAAACCTGCAGGATTGTTTATTCATCAGTATATCATTATTACACTGGTAAGAAATTCTGTATAACATCTGCATATATCGAGGATTTTTTAAAAAAATCTGATATGATTTTAGATCCGCATGACCAGTCACGTGACCTGCTTGAGGTTGATTAGCACCTTTCAATACATATATATTTTTATATATAATAGATCTTTTTAAAAAACTTCTAACAATGAGCTCATACAGAAGGATGAGCACGCTGTAATGAGATGACAGATAAAGATGGGGTTGGATGACTTTTGTGTGTTTGTTTTGGTTTTTTTGCAGCAGAATGATTCAGTTTGTGCTCAGTTTCCCTATAAGGGCAAGAAAAAACCCAACACAACTCCATCAGGTAGCCACTTGTTCACAATTTCCACTTGAAGACTAATCCATTTAAAAGCGTTCCCCAAGTAGAAACAAGACAACAGTACCATCCAAAATAGCCTCTGTATAAACATCTACTAATTTTTGCAGCTTCTGGCTGGCATCTCTTGGCTCCTGAAATTTCAGGCCCTCTGCTTATAAATTAAGGCATCACAACCGAAAACGTTAATATTTGGACATCAAATGCTGTGGATGAAGGAATACCAAAGACCACCTACAAGACCCTCCACAGAAATTAAGTGGCAAAGCTAACCTCAAGTAAGGGATGAGCATAATTTATCTGTATCTGGTTCTGAAATGCTACTGAAACATTTTTACAGTTAGTCTGATTTTAACAACTGGATTTTAATCCATTATATCTCTTTGAATTTTATATATCTATATATTTATAAACATTCATTATTCAAAATAGCTGGAATTTCTGCTTACTGTGGTTTACTCACTCGTATTAGGAAGGTCTTTTCTGTAATAGACGGCATGTATTGTCCCCTACAGCTGGTATTAGTGGGAGTTCTGCAGGCACATGAGCAAGGAGCTAGCTCCTACCATATACTGGGCTTGCAAATATACCACGCATACCTTTTACTAAGTCCTATTTTTACAGCAGGAAAAGGTACCAATCAGTTTTCTTTCTTCTACGGTGTGGAGGGGTATCAGAATTATTACACAGTACTTACAGCTCCCAAGTACTATTCCTGTAATAGATGAAAACACGTAAAATTGTGGCGTACTTGTCCCGTGGTCTTTCACAACAGTCTTTTTTCTTTTTTTAAACAATAGTTAACTTTATCCAACTATTCATGACTTGATAAAACTCAACAAGTTCAAAAGCAGAAGAAAGAACAAAACAGGGATTTTACTTTTCCAAAATAGGTTTGCTATTAAAAAAAAAAAAAAACAACCCTCACTTTAAAAAAAGTCCCCAAGAACCTGACGCCAGAGCAGACTCAATATAGTTTGCTAGAATGTCTGGCGTCTTTGCTATATTTTTTTCTATGAATTTTATATATAAGTATATAGTTATGTCATAGTCAAAGGCACTAAAATCTAAATCCATTTTCTTCCTAATATGACATCTGCTACTGACAACCTGTTTTTAAAAACAAATGTCACTCCTAATTTGAGATCATCAGAAAGGCATCGTCTCATTACAAGTGCATTATTATGACTCGTCTTGACAGGGCTGGATCGCCCTTGATTCCCAGCACAGAATGGGAGACAAAGGTATCGGGATTATGTCATGCCCTATCAATTAGACCACTTGATTCTGAAAACACTGCCATGTTAACATCACCTCTCATTGTACACGTCGCTGCTTCTCTTCATCCAAAAAAGCATTTTGTATGTCAGCCTTGACATTTTGGCTGTATGTGCTGGATCTGAAGATCATGTATATAGCTACATGAAATCTTTACTGGGGGGGTGAGATATTGTACACACAACAGTATCAAGAACGTTATGAAAATGCAATTCATTGTCTAGTATAATACCTGAATGTGATATGTTTCATTCCCTGTCACACCTATTAATGCAAAAGCCATGAATGCCTTTTTGCTAAGCAAAGCATCCCTAACTGTAATCCTGAAACTCTTCCTTCCATCCACAGTCACAGAAAGCCTTGATTGATATAATTCAATGTTAATGAAATAGAAATTTAAAATTTCATAAAAAACCCAAGGGCTATATATGCTGCAAAAAAATCTGCAGTGACTCAATAATAAAAAAAGTATGGGATCTTTGTAGTAATGCGGTTTTCCCTCCCGTTGCCATGATGAGCTTGACCAACTAAGAAGCCTCAACACGGCAACGGAAACTATCATCATAAAATGGTACAGTAATAGAGATAGCTAGACCAAGAAGGGGCAGGGTCTCCTGGGAAGAGGTCTGCAGAGAGGTCCAGTGACTGGTCATGCGGCTCAGTGTCAGGAATAATGGTTGTATGGTGGAAGGGGGTGCCCAATACCATTTTGGAAGTGATGATGCTGACGATGGGCAAGGTACTCTGTGTAGCTCATCGTCATCTTCTCACTGCGGTACCTAGAAAAGAGCAAAGAAGGAAATTCAAGAAGTGTTACCAGGAAGCTGGAAGTCGCACTACAAATACTGCACGAGTGGTATGTTTAATGGTGACCGCGCTGTTAGCAATAAGACTGATTTCAGTTGCACAAGGGCAGGGAGCGAACCGCCACGGTTGTCAGGGTCATTCTTGAATCACATGACAAATCACAACATAAGAGCTTATGAAATACAATTTTAAGCAAACAGAACTGTTCAAAATTGTTGCCTACTATGTTGCTCAAAGTAGAGGGAACAGAAACTCATGAGGATTTATTGAGAATGTCCCATATCTTCAGCCAACTCTACATAAAACCTAGGAGAAAAACTGTAAACAAGCACTACAGATTTTTGGGCTGTTTTTAAACAATCAGTATCAATTGTCTGCCAAATTTTGCCTTTAAAATAATCCCAGCTACATTAAATGGAGTTACATTCTTTTTAGACTAGAATCATGGAATATCTCAAGTTGGAAGGGACCCATAAGGATCATCAAGTCCAACTCCCTGCTCCTCGCAGGACTACCTAAACTAAACCATATGACTAAGAGCGTTGTCCAGACGCTCCTGGAACTCTGACAGGCTTGGTGCTGTGACCACTTTCCCACAGAGCCTGCTCCAGGCCGACCATCCTCTCAGTGAAGAACCTTTTCCTAATGTCCCATCTGAACTTCCTCTGATGCAGCTTCATTCCATTCCCTCATGTCCTATCACTGCTCACCAGAGAGGAGATCAGCATCTGCCCATCCGCTGCCCCCCTTGAGGAAGTTGTAGACTGCGATGAGATCACCCCTCAGCGATGAGGTCACGCCTCAGCCTTCTCTTCTCCAAGCTGAACAAACCAAGTGACCTCAGCTGCTCCTCATTAGTCTTGCCTTCAAGGCCTTTTGCCGTCTTGGTCACCGTCCTCTGGACACACTCTCACGGTCTGATGTCCTTATATTGAGGTGCCCAAAACTGCACATGGGACTTGAGGTGGGGCCGCAGCAGTGCGGTGTAGAGTGGGACAACCACCTCCCTTGACTATGGGCTTGATGCCCCCCAGGACACGGTTGGCCCTTCTGGCTGCCAGGGGATGCTGCTGACTCATATTCAACTTCCCATCAACCTAAACCCCCAGATCCCTTCCTGCAGGGCTGCTCTTCAGCCTCTCATCCCCGAATTTGTATGTATAACCAGGATTACACGGTCCCAGGTGGAGAATCTTGCACTTGGTCTTGTTAAATTTCATGTGGTTGGTGATTGCCCAGCTCTCCAGTCTACCCAGATCTCTCTGTAAGGCCTGTCCACCCTGGAGGGAGTCCATAGCTCCTCCTAGTTTAATACCATTGGCAAACTTCATGTATGTTTGACTCCTGCGTCCAGGTCATTTATGAAAACATTAAAGAGCACTGGCCCTAAAATTGGGCCCTGGGGAACCCCACTGATGACCAGCCAGCAGCCTGATGTAACCTCATTTACTATAACTCGTCGAGCCTGATGCATCAGCCGATTGCTCACACAACATATTACGGACTTGTCTAGCTGCATGCTGGACATTTTGTCCAGAAGGAAACTGTGAGAGACAGCATCAAAAGCATCGCTAAAATGAAAAACCAAACAACCCACATCTACTGCCTTCTGTTGGTCAACTAGGTGGGTGACCTTGGCATAAAAGGAAATTAAGCTGGTTAAGCAGGACTTTCCCCTCGTCAACCTGTGCTGGCTATGATCAATGACTGTGTTCTCTCTCAAATGGTTTTTCAATAGCTCCCAGAATAACCACCTCCCTAATTTTACCAGGCACTGAAGTGAGACTGACAGGCCTATAATTACCAGGGTCTTCCTCCTTACCCCTCTTGAAAAATGGGACATTTGCCAGCTTCCAGTTGACTGGGACCTCTCCAGACTCTCAAGATCGTTGAAAAATAGCAGAGAGAGGTCCCACCATAACATCAGCCAGCTAAATGTAACTAAAAGCAGAGTCCAGGCCCTGACAACAAATATTTTGGATATACTTGCATCATCATTGTTTGACAAGAAGAAACATATTGCCACATTTACACTTATCTGGAGAGGTGTAAAATCTACACAAAACCAACACTATTTCACATTTCCACAAATTTCACTTTGAAAGACCTTGCGTAAGAGATCTGACAGATGAGGCTTGGTGAATCCAGCTACACTGATTTAAAATATTGCCACCTCTCCTTTCTATCATATTTTTCTTCTGGAATTGCTCTGGTTGTTCTCTCCTCTTTTAGGTCTGAAAAAGACACAACAGATGGCTCAACCACTTGCACTCACAACCCAACGCAAAAGTTTAAACTACTGCGGAATTACCAACTGCAGCAATTAAGGTGGCAAACACATTTGCTTCTGATGCTTCTTTGCCAAAGGAACAGAGCAGAACATCTTATACTTGCAGCTTTTTGCATCAGCGGACGTGTTTCAGAGCACCCAAAGGTGACCACGCTTACTTGATGCAACACTTTGTTAATGATGTACTCCTTTAACGAATGGCCGCTGGTCCTTGCCGAGAGCTTAGCTGCAGCTTTTCTTGAACTGATGTGAATGGTACGCGGCACTCTGCACTCGACGAGTAAGCTCGTCTGCGAATGAAATCCTCTGCCACTATGAAACTAAACCGTAGGCTTGGCAGTTAATGAAGTTGGTTGTAAGTGGGTCAAAGCAGGCCAAAGGCGGCCTGACCAGAGTGGCATCTGCTCATCTGAGCAGATGGAAGAGAAAATGCCGTTACTGTCCTTACGCGTTCTAGACCCCTAAAATTGGTACGCTGCTTTCAGCTCCGCTGGTTTTTAGTTCTCTTCTTCAAACCATGGCCAGAACTACTGGGTATTAACTTGAAGTGAAGATAGTTAGCAATAGACTAAAGCTTAAAGCTTCAGTCACACACAGGACATTTATTTTAAGTCAGAGACTTGAAAAAGAAATTAAAAGCACTTATTCCACTCCTCCAATAGAAGTTTTACTGTATGACAAGAAGTTACTAAAATGAAGCACTAAAAAAGGTTGCCTGATGCTGGGAAATGGTTACTATTTTAATACTACTGTTCATAATATGCCAGCAGAAGCTGAGTTTTGAAGCAAGTTAAAAAGCCAAACAAACAAAAAAATTTATTCTGAACATTAAAAATTATGTTTTGTTTATTTCACTTACCAGGGCAGTGATTTTGCTAGCAGTTTGGATGTTGTGAACTTAAATACACTAAACTTGGGGTTTTGGTGTTGGGGTTTTGTTTGTTGGTTTTTTTTTTCCCCGAGGGGGAGGGTGGTGGTGGTGTAGCTGGGTTTTTTGGAGTTTTTTTTGTTTGTTTTGTTCTGTGCGCACATGCCACTGCTCCAAACAAAATCATGTAGCTGGAAGAAAATGTGTGTTATACAGATTTTTTGTTTCTTGGAAAAATATATTCCTTATTCATTGAGGTGTACACAAATTGTCATTTAAGAACTATAGCACTGTTACTCTTACCCTCAGCTACCTCCATATATTCTTTCTGAACAGAAGATAACAAGGTATACATTGTCGAAATACAAGTCGAAATAAATTAAAAGGAGACTGGGGTTCTGCATTTGGAAATTTAGCTGGATTCTGTAAATCCTTCCTCCCTCATTTAACCTTCAGAATAGCATGTTTTCCTTAGTCACAACTACTCCACAGTAGTCAAGTTCCTACAAGAATCCAGAATTCTGAACAGTCATTGGGACACAAAGTCTTTATTCTTCATCCCCAAGATCACTGAACAATTCCTCTAATACTAAAATATTTCTTTTTCTAAGAAATACTTTGCCTTCTGTCTAGTGTAAACATATACTACTGCTAACTAACAGTAAGATTTGTAGATGAAGATGACAAACGTGGAAGCTGAAAAGAACCAAAATCTCAGGTCTTTGTCCTATAAAAATGCATAAACAATCAGGAGAATCCAAGTATTTTCAAATGTCTGAAATGAAAGGATTGGGTTTTAGTTATGGACAAGGAAGTCAAGTCTGGCTTACACCTAGCTGCACTGCGGAGGAAAGAACTTCCAAGGAAATCCGGATGCAGAAACAAGACTAGTATACCCAACATTTTTAGGACTGATCTTGTGACCCTATCAGTCTCTAAAAGCTGATAAAAGACAGGAAAGGGAAGAGTTTTGGACATAGGATTCTAACTTTGTTATTTGTATTAATAGTATGTTGAGTGTGGCCTCCCTGAAGAGGATGAACAGCCAAAACTTCCTTATGACATAAGATTTTAAAAGTTCTTATTTCTCCAAGCATGGACTAGATAGCTAGGGTTTAGCAGTCATTTTATACTGCAAGCTTATAAAAATATATAGTTTTAGAGGCGTTCTTATACACATTTACTCCTCCACCCTTCACCATGTAACTACAATATTTTGGGCAGAATATCTGATGCTAATTGCAAAATATTTTGGTTCCCACCCACTAAGAAGCTCTCAAGAACACGTTTTATTAAATTAGCAAAATCAAAACACACTAGCGTGCGAGAGTATGAAATAAAATACTGAATTCATGCCTTCACTCCTGAGAATACCCTGACATAGTTTAACTAGCACCCTGACTGGCAAATCAGCTACCTAGTTTGCATACCTAACACCTGGCAAGACAAGGGAAACCCATCCTCCACAGGGGATAAAAAAGACCCAACGCTTGCTTCGCAAATCGAACAATTCCTGGTGCCGAGGGGCCTCCATGCCTTCACAGCAGCAGCCCCGCGGCGCACCATCTGCTCACACACAAACTGACAACGGCAAGGAATCCTGGTTAGCGACAGCCCCGCGACAGCCCTTACGGCCAAGGAACGCGCTGTAAAAAGCAAGAGCTAATACGCTGCTAAGATTTTTCAGAGTTATGAAACAAAATATGCAGGTACCCTGATATTTAACAACAGCCTTTTCTTTCTTGCTTAGTGCCACTAATCCCTACGCAAGGCATCAGTAGTCTCAAAGGGCCGTACTGCTATTGTGAAAAGAAAGAAATCATTAATAATACATACAGGAAAGCTTACTGTTAACATCTGAAATCAGCACTTACCAGGAATGAACACATCACAGTAATTACAAAACCAGGACTTATCTGTAGTATTCCCATGATCCATACCTGGTTAGCTTTATTGTTTTCCTGAATTCATTAGTAATCGGAGCTTTGTAGCCTCCTTTCCTCAATAAGGAATCTATGGTTTGAATGTGGTCCCATCCTGTTGAATTTTAAAGTAGTAAAAATTAGTGAGAAATACAGCAATAAGAATAGATGTTGCAAAGACACAGTACAGTATGTAGTGTTATTGATACTGGAAGTGCTCCGCTGAAGTTCTGTATCATAGAACATAGATCATTCTTCCCTACTTAAAAACAGTTGAAGGAAATACAATGTATAGGATTTCTTTACACACAACGTCCACTCTACAAACAACATCTATTTTTATCTCATAGTTGAAATATTTCAAAAGCGGACCCACTTTATCCAGGTATCCTAGATTGGGGGCGAGATATAAAATTAAACTTTTCTGAAATGTTCAGGTATGATCATGTATCACCGTCACTTTATATATTATAAATGGCTATGACAGTATGAGAAATTAAATTTCTGTATAAAATAAAACTGAAAAGAATTATTAGCTGAACATGTGCAGAGCACTTCAGAGATTAGACACCCCCATAAGTATCACTTAACTTTACAGTGATATTTCTAATTTCAGAACTACTATATTGTAATACAGGTGGCTAATTAAAAAAGTGATGTATTAAAAATACAGATTCATTATTGTTCTCAATAAAATCTTCACACTATTCAAAACTCCTATTTATTGATTTAAGAAAGCCTAATATTTTAAGTAGCTGTTAGACATGTTATTTCCAAAAGATGCAATTAGATTAGTCACATTGTTACATTTTAAAAAAAAGTTAGTTTTGGGTACGTAAAAAAAAATACAAATGGGTAGTTTTGGGTACTTTAGAGAGTCAGATGGCAATGCACAGTCTAGAATTATTTAGAAATGTAAACACCCCCACCCCCCAATTCCCAAATTTTAAAAAAAGCTTGTTAGGTGATCACCAAAGGTCTCAACAAAAAACCCTTCTCTAGAAGTACCTCAGAGTACAAAAGCAAAAGAATTGTCTTGGAAAGCCTCTAAACTTCTAAGTGACTATTTGGAAACAGAATTATCAATTAAAGATGATCCTCAGTAACGGTTTCATTCTATTCCTTAGCAGACCAACTCCAACATAAAAAAGAAGGGGAGGGGGGGGAAGCAGCCACACCAAATGTAAAAGATTGAGACACCCTGTGGAAAAAACCCAACCCATGGCATAGTGAGCAGCCATAGTCAGTTGCTCAGTCCCAAAGATTACCGTTCAACAAAATCCACTCTAGTTTTTTTAATTCACAAACATTAAGTCTGTGCCTCTATTAAAAAGGACTTTAATAACATTATTTTGGACTTTCATATTGGAAGCAATTCCCTTCCATCCAGCAAAAAACCGAGGAAGCCAGTGATTATAAATGGAATTAAGTACTAGGAGAAAGTACCCAATTGAAAAAAACGACTTGATCATTGCAAATTTAGGAATAAATCAGCTGTTAAGATAATTGCCCAGACATCCCATCACTTACTAGATTTGCATTTCACTAATATCACAGCATAACAACTATACGAAAATTGACAGCTTTTAACAACTGTAAAGGTGGTTGACAGCACTGTACCACCCCTCCATACTTTATTTTCCTACAGCTACACTACATTTATGACTTGTTTAAAAAACAGCTACAGTTTACTGAATCCCTGTAAGGGACTGATACAGGCATGTAATTGGCATTTTATATAAGAGTCTTCTTACAATTAAATATTGCTCCATCATCTGACATCAGTGCAAGGTCAAATATTGCATTTTAGATTTACATGTATGTTTAAATTCTTCACCAGATCATATGAAATAAAGTGCAACAATGACCTTGCTCCTTTGCAACCTCCGGTAAGTAGGTGGCGGTGCGTTTTGATCCTTTTTCATTGATGAACTCTATTCTAATGCCATGTACACCCACCTGCAAGAGATTGGCAGCTTTATTAGTACATTAAAAGAAAAAAAGATACAAGAGATTTCTAACATGATAAAACCCAAAATGTGAACCTTTCCGCGGTCAATACCATTTTGCAAAGAGTTTCAAGAGGTGGTACCGAAGTGAATGTAAGCTTTTTGAAAGGTGTTCACTTAAAGCCTTGCAAGGTCCGTAGCAGCACAAATACGCTCCTCAGCTCCCCACCACGGAGTTTCGTTTCTGGTCGGACGGAAAGGCAGCTGATGCAGAGATGCAAAACCAGTTCTGTCTCTGGGTTTACTGTCTCCCTCTGACACTGTCAGCAATGTTGTTGCCAATAAACTCACCTTGCCACCAGATACAATCTGCTGGCAACCAAACAGCTAGCAATTCTAACGATGCTGCAATTAAGAGCATTAATTTTGTTCAAAGTAACAACTGAACAGTGAAAGATTTGTCACACTACGAACTCGAGCCTGGAGCCTTCAAATTTTCTGCTAACGTATGATAAGGAAAAGGAGACATTCCAAAGCATTCAGCTTCAAACTCCTATTTCCATGCTACTACGTATTCTAATATGACAAAACGTCAAATGGAAACCAAAATTACTAATACCAAGGAGTCAGATGTATATAAAGTTGAACTGCCTAAAAAAAAAAAAATTTAAAAAAAAATAAAATGAGGCTAGGCACCTTTTGAGGGCATTGTTTAAGCACCCCTGTTTTCAAGGTACAGTAATTCTCTTGAGAGGACCTGCACTTGGATCAGGCATGCCATAAAAGATAACTTCATTGCCAGGAAGCTTTCAGTTGCCTTTGAGTTCTGTGCATAAACACAAAGCGTTAGTAGACGGACATTTTTATTTGCATGCCCAACAACTAAGATGTTATTTCCATTTAAATCCAAAGTTCCCAACACCATATGTGGAAATGAATAGCTTACGTTTATAAGGGTATCATGTCGTTTGGTATGGCACTTATTTTTGGACACAAAATTAATCAAAAAATGATTTAACAGTTTTTCCCGTGACAACCTATTTTACTGTAACTGCATGACAGTCAAAACCCAATAAGGAATATTTACAAAGCTCTATCACTTGTTCAATTTATTTGCTTATATTAAGACTTTATTTTTTTACTCTTTATAATATGATATAAGCATAGGGAAACGGGAGGAAGAGTCTCTCTTGCAGTCAAAAACCAAATAAGGAATATTTACAAAGCTCTACCACTTGTTCAATTTATTTGCTTATATTAAGACTTTATTTTTTACTGTTTATAATATGATATAAGCATAGGGAAACGGGAGGAAGAGTCTCTCTTGTGGTTGGCCACGGCCTCAACAGTTTTCCCCCATGAACGTAACATTTCTTAAATAGGAAAAATTACTTTTGAGACTAAGAATTTAATTCACTGCAAATTTTAATGTGAAATTTCATTACCAAATACTCCTAACTTTCATAACATGGATATATAATCACTACAGAGATCAAATCTGTACAGTCAGATGATGTAATTATGAACCCAAAGGACCTGAAAGTAAGATGAAACAGCATTAGAAGCTGAAATGAGCCTACCAAGTTTATTCCAAGAACAAGTTTTTGCAGCTGGTGATTTTGTAACTGTCTATATTCAATTGCCTAAGCACTAACACCAAATATTTTCAGGTTTTGCACACCTTCAAATCCTGCAGAATATTAGATTCTAAATTCTATACAACTGCTTTGCCTAACAGCGATCACGTAGCATTCATGAGAAACTAACCAGAAGCACTAGTGATGTATTAAGTACGAGGCAACGTTCAAGCAGCCGGTAATTGCACTGCCCTGGATGTTTCCCATTAACCATTTTAATGGACTTTAGGCCCACGTCTGTGGAAGAAAAAGATGTAGAGCAAAATGAATAAGACAACACAATTGCACCCGCAGTTCCTCTGGTTGAGAAAATTTCATAGCGTTCTGTGAAGCATGAATTCCAACCGTGTAGCTAAGCAGGACTTTTAGTCCCGTACAAATGGCTTTTCAATGTTCAGCTCCAGTTAATCAAAACCAGGCCCGAGTTAAATAAATGGAAGCCACACACAAGCAAAATAAGAATGATCCTTGCCAAGACTGGCATGGGCACAGTTAGGAATTTATTTTGACTTCCTCAAGAGACCAGTGTTCCTCCATTGATGAAAACTTCTGCAAAATTTCCCAAAATATTCCTCTCTAAGATGAGAGATAAGGGGTAGGTCCATGTTTGGAAGGCATTAACGGGACTGTAAGTCGCTTGCCTACCAGGCTCAGCACAGAGCTTTATATAAAGCTATGGCATGCTTCTCAAACTAAAAATACTGATACACAATGGGCAAGTTTTTGTAGAATAACATCTGTCTGTGCAGTTCAGAAAAAGAAACCAAACAATCCTCTTCTGCAGATGAAGTTTAAGTTCTGCCTCATCTATTACCATTTATTAGGGAAATGGCTACATACAGGAATCCTTCTGAGCTGCACAAAGACCACGCAATTGCCATCTCAGCCTCCCAAACGGACAGGAATCTATTTAGACTGTTGCTGTCGGGAGAGGAAAGTGAGATAAGGAGAGTGACTTAGAAAGGCAACAAACCAATCTCCTCCAATAGAAATATTTCTGTAGGGTTTTAAAGCATGAAGTACTGTATACTCTGTGTCCGATATTTGTGGATATAAACTCTTCAGCCCATTGTATAAGTGGCCAGAGGCTACCTAGAACTAGGTCCAGTGACAATATTAACTAAAAAACAGACCTTTCACTAAATCAAAGGATTGCGTTAAACTACGTTTTTTATTTTACTCCTGAAGCAACCTCAACAGAACTTCAGATACACTTTGTTGTGTATTTATACACATGCGTATCCATTTCACATAGACCTCGGAATGGGGGAAAACACGCAGATGCCACATTTATTGTTTTGCCAAGTGCTTCTGGCACTTGCTAGATTATCGCCCATAATACCCCGCCCCTCACAGCTGGGCTAAGAGAAAACTGTTCCAAAACCCACCCCGAAACCGCAGTCCAAGCAACTCTCGTGTTTGCCTGTTCTGACTCAAATTTCCAAACATAGTTCACAAATCCGTTCCTCTTGTACAGGCTCTCCAACCATACTGAGAGGAAGCAGGAACATTATTCTCGTTAGGCTATCAACGTGGAATTTGGATAAAGAGCTAAAACGTCAAGCCTTGCTGAAATTTAAGCTTCTAGTTCACTGTGGAGTAAATTATCATCAAATAATCATTCCATTCAGTTTTATCCTCTGCACTGAAATCTGTGCATGCAATTATCACTAATTAGCTTACAATTAATTAATTGTAAACATTTTTTCAGAAAGACATTAAAGCACGTAACAAATAATCTGTTACAAAGAATCCCGATGGAAAACCCCAGAGCTGGAGCAGTGCAACACCTCCTTGGTGTCAGACACAAGCGTCTGCCTGTTCCTGAAGTCCACTGTTTGCTGTTCTCCTCCACTCCCGACTAGAAACACGGCTCGACGTCCAGCCCTGCCTGCCAGCACGCCGGTGAAACTGCGACAAACTCCGCTTGCCCGCCTCGCGGTGCCACCGGTACAAGCATTCACGTAACCACAGGATGAACCAGATCAGGCTGTCCTGGGTTACGGCTAATCCTTCTACTGACTCACGGTTTGCCAGCTCACTCTCTGAACGCCGGCAAGCTATTAACAGTTTCAAACAAAAAAGCTGGCCCTGTAACTTGTACAGCGTTCCTTATGATCCCACATAACCTAGTAACTTTCCCCTTTATTCACCTAACTAGTACTATCAAATTGCTGTATACAAACGTGTCTGGAAGCGGAACGCTTCAGATTAAGTGACTATTGCTACTTATTAGAAGCTGACCCCATTTTTTATTAGTGGAATTCTACACCTTTGTAGCCCCACATTTGTAGCAAATATGCTGACTTCTTTCTGATCATCTTTAGTAGGGCTTAAATATTACATTCTGTTTAACAATGGAGGCAAAAGACTACTCAGGAGATACGCTCTCTACTTCATGACAAGCATTCTGTTTTTAATGAATCATTCATTTACGTACATGGAATCAGTGAATATCGTCCAAAGAGAATAAAATATGGAGATCAAGTCTCTTTCTTCTCTGTTCTAAGTAATAATAAGTTGCCAGAGTTGCTGGTGCCGCTGCTCTTGCAGGAAGGAAAGAATTTCCACAACTCTTAAAGGTACCAACTTTGTCAACAATGAAAAGCCACCTTTCAGTCAATGTGAGTGGCTACAATTACTTAAGCTAATCTTTAAACCAGTGCACACCGGCTAAAGGCCTTTTGTATCAACACAGCAAGTCTGTACCGTTCCGCGGATTTTACTTAACTGAAGAACAGCAACTTCAGGGCAAAGATCTCTTTCAAGGTATTTTGAGGAAGAGTCGCTGGTCAATTCTAGTTATTTATTATCCTATTGGAATTACAATAATGTTTTCCAAAAAGTTTCTTCTTATAATTACATACAATCATAATGTTTTATGATGTTTTAATAAAAAAAAAATGAGACAGTCTGAATTGGCAACACAGGCTTTACCTTCTAGCAAACCTCCCTCTCAGATTCTTAATTAAATTAATGAGAAAATAAATTAAAAAGGTGTTCATTTGCTATAACATGAAATGGAGAGGGAATGAGTAGAGGCACTTTGCTTTTCTCTTCTGTATTTCTAGGAAAAAAAAAAAAAGCATACAGGGGATACATTAAATCATTTGCCATTGTAATGCACCTCGCAGCCATACCCTCTGGAGGAGGCAGAGCCTGTTGTACCAAAGCTGGAACTGCAAGACCTACACCACGATGCCACCTTAGATATGTCCTTTCTGGGATCTGAATCCACTCCCAGGACCTTCTGAGTCCGGGCTTATTTGCCTAAATTGCAGACTTAGAAGCTTCACAAACCAAACAGAAGTTCTTTCTAAAGGACCCAAAAGCCATGACACCTCACACCAATCTATTCAAACTCTTCTACATTCCTTCTTTTGGGGTGCTGCCAACTACACACACAGCTCCCGCTGCAACATGAGATGCAAGGGTATCTGCATTAAGAATCAAGAGTAAAATTGGAGGCATCCTGAAGCAGGAATTCAAATTTGTGCAGGAAAGAGAAGACTTGGTAGAAGGACAGATCAAAAAAATGAGCTCAAGGAGAATGGAAATATGGATAAAGCTGAGGTTACGCAGGGAAGGAATGACTGCTATCAGTATCAAATGGGTTTAAAAATAATTGGTCTTTGTGACTTGTCTCCTACATAGTGCTTTGATATCTGATCTTTAGTAAAAGAGCAGTACTATCAAAAAAAGAAACATGTTTTAGAGTTTCTTATGTTGCCCATTTGAGATGGAAAGGCTGTGGAACTCCACCCCAGCAGCAACTGGACCACGGGAATATTTCATGGGTTCTGTCTAGCAGAAATGAAGAAACAGTTCGTGCCCTCCCAGTGTTCATTTCAAAGCCCTACATCTGTTCAACTACGAAAGTGCACTGCAATTCACATAAAGTCACATGTAAGTAAGAACGCTAAATGATATTTTAGGAAGCATCCTCGTGAACCATGGCACTGAAGCCGTCCTTTAAAGGCTTGTACTTTCTCCCAGTTACTTTTCTAACAGGCAAAAATGGCAGCAATTTGAAAAAATATATGGGAGCTAACAGCAGTCAATTCGCTCATATCTCCTGTTTACTTGGTTGAAGTTTCTGCTGCAAAAGGATCTCATACTGCTTTTTACAACTGAAATATTCATTTAGTTTGGGAAGACAATTCATCAATCAGAGGAAAGAAGATCTATCACTCTGCGTCAGGATATAGGAGACATTCCTGAGCCACGTCTTCAGATCATCTTGTCTCTAAGCCACCAGAGCACTGTGAGTTGTCTGAATTGGCAATTTTGAAATATTGTGACCGCTGTCAGCAAATTGCTGAATTGCCTCCCACAAGAGCATCCCTACAGAAGTAAGGTCTCCTAACCAGGCTGGTGTTTTTCAGGATGATCTTAGCATTATACGAGACAAAAGATGCAGAATCTCTCTACGTCATACTCTAGATACCCTGAAATGTCCTTTTGCCATTCATATTGCATAACCGCAGCTCCCTTAAAAGCAGCATGGATGACATAACCTCTCTCACTGACAGGGGCACAAACAGCGACGAATCATTCTTTTAAGGACTAACAATTACAAATTTTGTCTGTCTCACAGTTATACACAAACCCTCCTGCTCCTTTTGCCTGGAAAGCTTGTGGATCATCCACAACTATGTATGATAGAATCACGTTTAACTTATAGGGAAAAAGAAAAAAAACCCCATATAATGGAACCTACTTCATGACCATTTCTTAGAATTCCTAGGAATTTGCTAAAGGTTTTAAAAATCTATCATTAAAAAGCCTTAAATGAAATAGGAGAGAGTAACTGAGTAAATGTATATCACAAGGACTATTACATTTTTGACCCCCTATTCTTCCCTCTAAGTCAGGGCTTTCCAATTAGAAGAATCGTGAGAATCCATAAATTCAATCAGAACTGAGAAAACCTCCAGTTCTGCACCAAGCTTCCTTACACTGTTGTTGAAGTCTCAAGGATTCTGCAACACGATACAGAAAGGACATAGAAAGTAAAAGCCTCCTTTGTTTCATACAAATATTAAACTTATGAATTAGAAGTCCCCCAAGGAACAAAGTTAAAACCAGTCTTTCCAAGGGAGAATGGATTTTTGAACTCAGGCTTTGGTTTAAGCTTTTCTTTAAGGATGAATATTTTAGTTATCTTAGAAGTTTATTATTGAGAGAATAAAACAGCCTCTAATAATATTTACAGACTACCACATAGAAGCAGCTAAATGCTATTTCATTATGCACTTCACACTTTTAAATAGATACTTTCTGAGTCTATTCATAGTCTGATTTTAATAAATTATAATAAATGAAATTAAATTGAAAACATCACAATTGTTACTACCAGAAGTCAACCCAGTAAAGCAGAAAACTTATAGCCGTTTTAATTTTGACTTCTAGCTTGGTTGAGTATTAAAAGTCACTACAGTTTTGATTACTTGAGAATATTGTTTAATGAGCTGTAAAGGCTCAGTGACAAGGCAAACAACTACTCTGAAAAAAGCTTCTTGTTGAGAATGCACACAGAGTTTCAGCTAAGATTTATTTTTGGTCTGACATTATATAAAAAATGAATAATTCTGATTATTGTGAAAATGCTGATAAACCCCAAAGGAAACCTACACTCATATCATTCAGAATCACATATCAGAAGGTAAGAAGCCCTTGTTGAACAGGAAACACATTTTTATTAGATTTTCAGCTACTGTAAAATTCATAACGCTGAGGTTACTGCTGGATACCACCGTTCTGATAGAGCAGGGCCTCTTACCATTTTAACAGCAAATGATCTTTCTATTCAGTATATATTTGTTATATGTGAATGCAACAGAAAGCCTCTTTTTCTCTTAAGAAATCCTAAACGTTTAGGAAGGCTAAGTCATTATCAAAAGGAAATACTGTAACTTGTGTGGTGTCTCTGGCATTATGACATGTCCACTGTCATATATGACAATTCCAGAATTGTTTTATGTCCACTCAAATACAGACTCAAAGAGCAACACAACAGTCATACTGACTGAGATGAGAACTTCATCTTGAGTCCAGTAACTTGGTTTTTGCAAGTGTCCAACATCAAATCATTTGGGAAAAAGCAGAAGAATACAGAATAACACTTCCTTCAGTATACCTTCCCAGAAATAATTCTAAGAGCAGCATTTGCTTCTTGATCTCTTTTATGCTGCTGTTCCAAGAGAATGCATGCAGGTTTCCTAGAACCTAAAAATTAAAATAGATTCAGCTCCATGTATAAGTAGCAAAGAACAAGAAGAGCAATGATTCACTTGGCCTCGTTGTGTAAGGGCTGTGTGGGGTTTGTGCAGGCCACTCACTTTGAAAGCAAAGGAAGTTCTGAGAAAGACAAATGGTTCACTCCACACAAGCTGAGTAAGGCAGCTTGTTTGGGGATTGCAATTTTTGGCAGTGCTTGTTTCCAGTAGCGTACATCAGACTATTAACTTTCATACTGGAACATCCTCTTTCCAGAATCAACAGACTGATCTACCACATTTCTGTGTTACGTACGCTGCAAGAGAGGTCTCGGGACACCACCACTCAGACACCACCTTGCTTGATGGAGCCTCAGACATGAAGAGAGCTCTGCAGACCAGTCTTACTTTGCGTGCCTAAGCGGGCAAGAACACTTTATTCCATTTTCACGGCTCAGACTTTTAAGGTGATGACAGTTCTATCAAAAAGGATCTTTTGAATCTATACACAAAACAATGTGTGCAAAACAGTGACAACTACACTACATATATGCAGATAATTTAAATGGTGTGACTTCTATAGATGTTCATGGCATCAAAGTAATTTTCTTAAAAGATATCTGACATCCTTACCTCCCAGTCCATGTAGTCACATACATCTTCAAAGTTAGTGAGTAGAGACACTGAGCAGAAAAGCCGTGGCAGCTCATCCCTCGTCATTGGGGGGAAACGACTATCTTTAAGGGCACTGTTGAAGACAAAACAGAATTTCAAAGGATTTTTTTTTTTTTTTACATGTTCAAGGATCTAATGAATCAAATGAAAAGTATAAAGGACAAAAAAAAAAAATCCTGATGACCATCATGAAATGATGACCATCATGAAATGATAATCCAGTTGCCAGTGTACCAGACTGACCAACATTCCCAACTTTTTCCTTAGACACTTGTTTCAGTTCTTGGCTGGCCAGTCAGGCGGTGTTCTGAGGGTCATTCCTTCCTGAGCTGATTTTGCTACTGTGACAATCTTACTAATGAAGCAGCAGAAAGTTTTTGGGAAAAGTTACAAAAGCAATAACTCTTCTACTTGTAATTTAGTAAATCCCTTTCAAAAAAGATTAAACTAGACAACAAAAAGCAGAGGGGGAAATTCTATAGCCTGCAGTAATCAAACACGTAATACAGTAATCAAACTGTGGAACTTAATTATTCAGTGAAAAAAAAATCCAAAGCAGCAGAACATTCTCAAAAAATTACTGGCAAAGGTGAATATAAAAAGGTAAAAAACATCCAAGGGCTCTACAGACCGGTAAACCTACAGGACTCAAAGATGTTCTGCAAAGCAGATGCAACGATTAGCAACAGGGAAGCTGGCAGCTAAGCTCGTCGGCAGGCTGACACATCATTCTACAGACCAGCATACACCTAAGGGGGTAAAATTCAATCCAGAGAGGAGCTATCTGTGCACATTCCAGCCCGCTTTGAAAAACAAAGCGGTTAACGGACGGCAAGCGGTACCACAAGAACATTTATAAAAACCTACTTGCATAAGCTTGGTTAAGAACCAGTTAAATTGGAAAAGGGAAGGTTAAAGGAAGTATGGCATCTCATAATTTTTTATTCTCTTAAGGTTTGAAATATGACATGTATGAATTCAAATATGCTCATCTCCAACAAAAACAGGGATCTGCTAACTGAGTTTTTGGATGAGTAAAGAGAATTTAATCTTAACAGACTTACTAACACACTACCAAGTTCTTCACGTGTCTCACTGTTTCATCTAGCAATTACATCACTCTTACTCATTTTACTTGGCATACAGCCAGCGGTTGCCATTAGCTGATGTAACTATAGCCATGGCACTTAGAATATGGCTGAAGTCTCTGCATCAGATACCACCATTTTATATAAAGAGTAGTATAACTTTATTAAAGCAGACCAAATAAAGATGCATAAGCAAAAAAACGTAAAGCTTAGCTGAAGGAAATGATTTTATGTATAACCAGAAATACCTTCTCATCATGAATTAATACCACACACTGAAGAATTAAAATAGAACCTTTATTTTTCTGGGGTGGGGGGAAGGCAGGTTTTTTTTCCCAGACATGCTACAATTACAAAAAATAACATAGTATTGCAATTTAGACTAGAAGCACTTCTGCAAGCTTTGGTATTTTTGCATTACAAAAGAGGTCAGAAATTTTGATTTTTCATTACGAGGACAAATTCATTATTTAAGTAAGTAACAGATAGCGGGCCTACGCTACCCATTATTTAGGAGTAATTCTAGGCAACCCAGGTAAAGTTGCCATAGATGTGAAAAGATGTTGGGACAGTAACTAGCCAAGATAAATCTGTTGACATCTATGTAGGGTAGCCAGGCCTACGTACACTTGTGAAGAACTGGGAACACTAAGGAGATTTAAAGCATAATATCTGTCATATTTAACTAATGACTTTCACTGAAGATGTATCACAAGATGGCATTCTCCAAGATTTTGTTGATGGGATTTGCAAAGCTAGCTTTGTAACTGCTGGGAACCAGGCAAAGTTACCATCCTCCATTGCCTGGAGTTTTGGAGCAACATCACAGATCAACTCATATAGCCACAGCAGAATAGCCACATATGAAAATACAAACAGCTAATCCAGCCTTCATATACCTCCACGGGGGCGGGGGGAATATATATATACGTAAAGGGAGGATACTCTGAAAAAAGGGACAGCTCAAACCAAGTCCATCTAGTCTAGTATTAAGTGAAAACCAACAGCAGTTAGCAAAATGGATGAATACAAGAACACAGTAAATATCCAGGAGTGCTTCTGTGGAATGCTCGCCAGGAATCCAGCTGGTTACAGCTTAAGTGTTTTGAGCTAGAGATGGTATCTCTGCACTTAAAAGTTCTTCACAGGTTTATTTAATAAGTGCATGCATGCACACTTAATATTTTACCTCACCTTTTACTAAAAACTAAAAAATTATGTTCATAAACCCCAGTCCTCTTAAAATCCATTGCTACTACAGGTTTGCACATATGCAAATTTCTCATTTCCCTGGGGGATGCTGTACTTCTATCATACAACCAATCTATCTGAATACACTACTGAAAAGCACCCAGACAGACAAGCGTTGTTTCATTAAACAACAAATCCCAGTATCTTGGGAAACAACTGCATGCACGGATATTGCCCATACTTGTTTAAACCCATTTTTCGTAATTTATGCAACAATCTTACCATGCAAAAGATCTTCCATATTCTAAGAATTTACAACCTTCAAAAAACTTTTTTTTTTTTTTTTTTTTTTTTTTTTTCCCCCAAACCTTTATAACTGGTTACTTTTCTCTCTGTGGGACACAAGCTACTGGTTTTTTTTTGCACAACTTGATACCAGGAGTTAATCTAACTTTCAATTCCCCTTCCTAAAGCTCCCAAAATGCACTGGTGAATTTCAACTTTTTGAGGCCAAGGTTGTCTCCTATGGGTGCAAGCCTGATCCCTACAATGTCAGCAGTCCAAGTCTTGGGCAAATTCCCACTCACTAACGATCTGCTGCACCAGCATTACTAGAGGAGAAACCATCCTTAATTTAACATACGTTAAGTTGTACAGAAACAAACATCATACAGCACACACAAAAGCCACAGCTCAGCTAGCCTGCCCAAATGCCGAGATGATAATCTGAAACAAGGTGGGTGAATTACGACAAATCTGAATATTGATAAAAAGCTGAAATATGAAACCTTGATGTGAACGCAGTGGAAGGAGAAGGGCACAAAAGCCTCAGGCATATACAGCAACCAGCAGTTCAGTTCTAGGGAAAGCAGAGCAAGGCGGCAGACACTGCGTACTCCTCCTTCGCAGGCTTAGCTGGCTAACGCCGTTATTCAATAATATGGCACAAATACCTTGCTTCACCTACCTACCTGAGGGGAACCAAAATATTGTTTATCAAATGATAGCACCTTTTCAACTATACCCAGTTCTTTCAGAATGGCTAGGTGCTATTTTATCTGTAAGTCTGCGAAAAATTGCACATCTGTGCACCCCCCCGTAGAGGCACTCATCCTGCCCAAGGGAAGCGAGAGATCCGGCAGAACAGATCCGAGATTTGAGGAACAGCCTCTGACACCGCCGTGACCGGTCAATACAGACTATTGCTGCTGTTCTAGTCCTCCTCTCCCCATCTCCAGACCCCTTATTACAATTTGTTCTCCTCTTTCAAAACAGCTGTGTCTCTGTTGTTACATAAGTGGAACCAAAATTTACCTGGAGAAATTTGTGTTGATGAACAAACAGCAATTGGAACAAAACCTACTGAAGGGAGATGCCAACAAGGAAGCATTTGTTCGTACTGGTTAGCTACGCATGAAATATTGTCTGCTAATGCAAAATTCATGAAACTAAAATAGTCCAGCAATTGTATCAGGTGCCAGTTTTAGAAGAACTAGCGTAAAACTTAGTGACCCTGCCCTCAGGAGTCTGATCTAGGTGTGTCATAGACTACTGCAAAACCGGGAAACGTTTACTTTTTAAGTGCTGTCTATTAAGGTTACAGTATCAGTCATCCTCTCAATCATTCTGGTATTACTACCACGGTTGAAACTCTAAAGTTCCAGATACCTTTTGAAAACCTAAGAGCAGACCAGCTTCATATCATCTCTTCACAGATTAACTGTTTTCATTTTTGCATATTTTAATGCTTGGTTGGCAGGAGACGTATGTCATTAGAGATGCTTCCCTTCAGAATTTCACAATTATCCTTAAGTCTAAACTTTCTCTCTGTGGGCGGTGACTAAATCCCCATCCAGTGACTGCTCTGCTGATGTCAGTAAAACAAGTGGATGGTATCCAGGACAGCTCCGCACAGTGCACAAAACCTAGGCTCTCAATGGTTAACAGCCGGCATCACCCTCAGAGATGTCAGCAGATCTCAGCACCGAGAAGGATAAAAACTCTTGCATGAGTTTTTACTTCTGTTGTTCCTGTTCTGGGAAGAAAGATTATCGGTTTCTAGAGGCAGCAGTCTGGCACTTATTATACACTTCATACCCTATACAAAGCTGTCCGTATGTAAATTCCCTTGTCATGTTAGTATGCCTCTTGGTGACCAATTCAAAGCAAGCATAAAATAACATACTCTTGTTTTCCTCAAAAGCTTGTTACTGGTCTGAGCTGTTCAGAATGAAAAGTCACTATGTAATTGTGTGTCAGCATTCTGGCTCAGTAGAGGAGACTTTGTTCTGTTTATTTGATGGAAGTATTATTTTTGTAGTATTAGAATGTGATTTTGCAATCTTATTCAATGCTATATCCTTCTGTTAATTCTTCCGTTAGAAAGACAAATGGATTCTTACGGAACAAAATCTGGCATATTAGATACCAGGTTTAAAAAAATATTAACTCCACAATGTTTAGAATTAAGGAAGGATAAGTGGAAATAATTAGTAAAGTAAGTTGGAAAAATCAGGCAGAGTTCAAAACTACTTTTAAAGAAAAAATTACTAATTTTAAAAGCATTTCCCAAAGCATCTGTGTTTATTCCTTAATGCCCAGAAGTAATGTACATCTATAGCTGCTGACTAAATGGAAGTCTGCGGTGGTGAAGAGTTGAAAAGCAGCAGTGCCAAGGAAGGGAATTCTTGCTGGCCAATAAAAGGACATTAGGTTTTCCACATGGAGTTTTGCTCCATGTTCAAAGGGAAGCGGGCAAAGTCAAAATTGAATGCTGTTCAAAGAAAACTATTTT